ATTTTAAATGTTCAAATATTTTGTTTTTTTCAAATATTTTGCTTTTTATTAAAAAAATAGTTTAAGTACTGTCATATAAAAGTACTCATCAAATAAATAAAATTGGGTAAAAACATGTTATGTACAATTTTAATAATAATAATTCAAATGCTTGTTTTTTAATTTAAGTTTAGATATGGGCTTTAAATGCTTTAAATTTAATACTTTACGATTTAATATTTTTAATTATATATTTTTTGTTGGTGAATATTAAAATTGATAAACAATAAACTTTAGTATTTGTGCATTGATAGAAATTTATATATAAAAATAATAATTAACATCAATATTTTTTTTTTATATCCATAAGTATCCGAGCCAACCTACGCACACACAAATTAATTACTAATTCTTAAGGTAGGTGACCATTATGAGATTTGAACTCATTCCCTATTACTTAACGTTAGTTCTTTTGGACCAATCAGTCATCCATGATAGTTGATATTTTAGATATTTTCATCAACATCAACATTTAAAATTTTGATGAAACATAAGAGACTAAATTGAAACAACATCTAAATAACAAATATCGAAATTAAGTAAGTATGAAAATTTAAGGACGAGAATAAAATTGATATATTAAAATAAGTCCAAACACAATCAATTAAAGGAAACAAAACCCACTTGCAAAATTTTTTTGGGGATATGGAAGAGTTGGCACTGTGAAAATCCCAACAAATTAAGGCTGTGTTTTGGATCCCACACACATGAAGAGTTTTTTTTTTTATTTCTCTCTCTCTCTCTCTCTTACTTTTTATTTTTAATAATATTTTTTAGCACAAAATCTCTCAAAAACCCAAATACAAAAATCTCAACTTGGGACCTGTTTGATTTGTTTCTTTAATCAATACAAAAAGATAGTTTTTTTTTTTTAATTTTATAGATTTGGAATGGGATAATTGATTTGAGATTAGATACATTCATGAACTATGCTGGCTTATAAGCTTCATTAGCTGGAAAGTTAATTTCATAATCAACTTGGATTTAATCACATTTGTAGTATATCACAATATTTATAAAATATAGTTTCTCCTATAATTCTGTATTCTATCTAAAAAGATTTCTCAACTCGTATAATGTGATCTTATCTTTTTTTTTTCTTTTAAGAAAGAAATTATCAATATTGGTGGGTCAGTTTCATCTACTTATTTGGGCTAATTTACAGTTGTTTAACACTCCACTTAATGATAGTTTCACGGTTTAAATACGATTTTAGTCTAAGTTTATTTTAGTGTTTACATTTTAAGTTTTATTCATTTTAGTCCATATAATTTAAAACACCAATTTTTACCCTGGTACTTTTTAAAAGTGACAACTTTTGATTTTCATTTTGATTTTATATATTTTTATCACAATTTTTTAATACGACATTTCACTCATTAAATTTATTGAAATATAACCATGAAGTTGTATTGAATAGTTTGTTAAAATTTTACCATTGGAGATCAAATTCGTCACTTTTTTCAAAGTATAAGGATCCAAATATATATTTTGAAAGTGTAAGAATTAAAATGAATAAAAGTTGAATTTAGAGGCTCTAAAATAATAATTTGAAAATATATAAATCAAAATAAACCAAAACATAATACTGGACCAAAAAAATATTTAATTTTAATCATGGTTTTACATTTTTTTTTCCTTTAAAATTATTGTTGTTTGTAATACCAAGAAACATAAATATATATATATATATATATATATATATATATATATAGTTACTGATGTAAATATAATACTAACAATAAAATTTATAACTTAGGGAAAAAGTTTCATTGTTAATTTTTTTTAATTTGAGAGTACGAGATTTTGAACCTCTAATCTGGTGATAAATAGTAGGTGTCAATTATCAAGCTATCGATGCTGATATTTTATCAATATGTATAAAATTAAAATGTATCAGCATCAATATTTTAACGTATCTTATTTAAAAGATCCATGTACTTTTAAATTACTATATTGTTATAGTTTAAAATTTGTAACATTTCTTAACAAAAATTCTCATGATAAGGTCTAAATCAATATTGCTTTTAAATTATACGAACTAAATTGCATCAATTAAATATTTATAAATTAAACTTTATGAATTAAGTCGTTACTTAAATAAAATATGGGATGAAAAATGTTTTTTTTAATAAAAATATATTTATATATAAAAATGGAAGGAACAAAAGGAAAGGAAAACCCTTAGCAAAAGAAACGAAAAAAGAAAAGCTACACATCATCGATGATCGACCGACCTAAACAAACGGAGGACGACATAACGGAAACGGAGTCGAGTAAGGACGGCACGGAAACCGCTAGGAAATCGGGTTGAATACAATGAATGGCGCGTGATTGCCACTCATCCAATTAAAATTCAACAAATTTAGTCCTAAAAATAAATAAATAACCAAAAAAAGGAAAGAAAAAAAATTTAACCACTGTACATTGAATATTTTCAAGTTCATTCATGGGATGGACCATCGTACATTGAATATTTTTCATGCTTGTCTTCATAAGCTGAATGCTCTTAATTTCTTTCCAAAGGTCAATTGATATTTTCGTAAAAATGTTAAAAAAAACTTTGACTAAACAGCTTGAAGCAGATAATAATTATCTTTATTAAAGTTTTTCAATTTCACATTTACATATTTGTTCTATTAAAAAAATAAATATACAAATTTTATATATTAAATAAATATGATTTTTGTAAGTCCGGTGAAATTTTTTCCATTTTAGTTAATGTACTCTTAACAACTTTCAAAAGACAAATACATTTTGAAGGGGAAATTTTATAAATATAAATATAAATACTAATAATAAATCTGAACTTACTTAGGGAGGGGAAATTTTTCATTGTTAATTAAAATAATTTTTATAATTTTTTTTATCTACATGAATATCCATCGATTTTATCAATATTTTTAAATTGAAATCTCGACATGAAATTTTATGATATTTAAATCCATCGATTTTATCAATATTTTTAAATTGAAATCTCGACATGAAATTTTATGATTTTTAAGTTTAAATATTACTTTTGTCCTTGTACTTTCAATTTTTTTTTTCATTTTAGTTCATGTATTTTTTAAATATTCATTTTGGTCTAATTATTTTTAAAAAGTGACTATTTTGGTAATTTATTTTAATTTCTATACATTTATTTGTATCATTAGTTTACCATGATGCTTCACTTACTAAGTTTTTTGAGATGTGGTAATGAATTTGTATTAAATAATTTTCGCTGTGTATAAATTTATGTTAAAATATTTATAAATATGAATTAAATTGGTAACTTTTTAAGGTCAGAATAATATTTTATTTTATTTTTATATAAGTTATTGTCCCATATGAATATTTCAATCCATAATTTCAAGAGATTTAAGAATATATATTGAAAATATTAAAGATGAAATGGTTTCTTAAAAAAAATTAAAAGAACCGACCAAAAACTTAAATAACTTTGTTTTAGCTTTAAAAAAATAGGAAACGAAACACAATAGTTTATTCGATGTAAATAAAAAAATTATAGTTATTGTTATTAAAAATTGTATTTATTTACTACGTATCTATTCCATGGGCCTTTTACGTCACTAAAATTTGAAAATAAATGAATTATTAAGCAATTAAAAGAGTTAACTCCAAAGCTGACACGACATCCATATCACTTTTGGAAAAAACAAAAGAAAAAAGAGAGGGAAAGAAAATTAAATAATTATTTGAAGTGAATATTATTTTTTAGGTTCAAATGCTAGTTTGTTCTTGCTATTTTTAGTTTTGATTTCGTTTGATAATGTAGTTTCAATTTTTGTTCATTTTAGTCCACAATGAAACTTTTTAATACAAATTATGACTACATTTCAAAAAATTTAGTGAGTGAAATATCATGTTAAAATTATGATTGAAATAAATAAAATAACGTTAAAATAAATGGACCAAAATGAACAAAGACATACATTCTGAAAGTACTTATACTAAAATTAACAAAAATTGAAGTATGTTGGCTAAAATGAGCACAAACTAGTATAGAGATTAAAATAATATTTAAATCTATTTTTCAAAAATTCTATTTGCAAAAAAAATTAATTTTATATTTAATACCGTAAAATATTTTAAGCAACTCAACTCATTCCATCTAAACATAAATATAACTCAATTGTTGATTACAGGTGTAATTTTTAAGTTTAAAATTTTGCCTATTTTTTAATTGTTATAGTAAAAAGTAAATAGAATAATTGAATAACGTTTAAAAAATGTAATTTAATATGAATTGACGTTTTCTTGTTTACATTAATTAAAAATCCAAGTGGCAACGCTTTAATTATAAACCCACTTGACCAAATTACTCAAAGATAGGAAATAATGTCTGTAATTTTCAGATCATTGGAGCTTTTTCAAAACACCATATAAATGAAGCAACGACTTTGATCGAAAGTCTTTTTTTTTTAATTTATTTATCGTTACACTGCCATACCATTTAAATGTTTAATTTTGATTTATGGAGAGAATTCAAACCTCACATCTCTAAAGAAAAATTTTGAAAAGTAAATTATAATTTTGTTACTCATGTGAAAGTTTAAACCTCTAAATTAAAAATCCATAATGTCTCGAAGCAATAAAATTTAAAATTGTAAGATAAATTCAAAATCAAATCTTATATGAAATTTTTGTCTAGTTCAACATCGATAACATTTATTATTAGTGAAAATTAAGAAATCATAAACAAAATTGAGAATTAGGTAAAAGATAAGGGACGATTTGGTATATTTAACAAAAACAAAATGAAATATTAATTTATTTAAAAAGAAAATGAAAAACAGGTTGTGGTTTTGGGTTTTGTGGTATTTTTAAAATTTGGTGGGAGAATATTACAAAGAAACCCCACTTTGTGAACAAATACATTGCACTTGGGTTTTTATCAGCTGTATGCGCATGTACCGAAGCCTTCCTCCACCCACCATAAAGCTTCCTTCTAAACTGCTTCAACTCCTCCATTTTTCCTCACTTTTCTTCTTCTCCTCCTCTTTTTTCCCTATCTGATAGGGTTTCAGCCATCTCCGCGCTTCCGTTTCTCTCATGCATTCGCAATCTCAGGCTGATTTCGCTGCCGTCTTCTGCTTCATCGTCGTCGCCTCTCTCTTTTTTGCTCTCTTTCGAGGGTTTTTGGGTGCAAATCCGTGCAGATTCCACCTCCCGGGGTTTTCTAAGCTGTACTCATGTCGAAGCTCTTCGCCTATTCCGGTAAGTTGATGATTCCGCCTTGAATTTATGCTTTGATTGGCCTGCTGTGTTCGTGAGTTTGAATAGGACGTTGTTTAGATTAGTTGAGATTTTGAGATGTGATTGTCGTGTTCTATATGTCTGTCAGAAATTATTTGGATGGAAGTTTGGATCGTAGGAAAATATTTGGGTTATAAGTTTAGTTTTGAGGTTTTTCGTTTTGCCAAGTGGTGGATCGTGCCTTTTTTTGAATTGTTAGGGAGTATGGATGTGGATTCTTGTTATAGGCTCATAGGTTAGGATGGTGTTGTAGTGCAGGCCAGATGTTATCTTAGGAATTGTGTCGGTTCATATTTTGAGGTCATTTATTTTTCTCAAAACGAGAAATCATGATTTAAGGGTTGTAGACAGTTTAAAAAACGTTGAAGATAGGTTTTCCAAAAGTTTAAACCTATAGGTTAGGGTAAATTTGATCTTTTCAATATTACCTTTAGATTTGTATATTAGCATGAGACTGCGCAAAAATTATGAACATGAAACGAGGAGAAAATAATTTTGTAAAGATTACTTCATGCTCTTCTATTATGATAAATTATCAATACATCTAAAACTTTAAGCTGTATTTTGTCTGGAGATTTTAATTGTTTGTCAAGTTGAATGATGTACCAATCTTTGTGTGAATTTCAGGCAGTGAAGATTTTTGCCCCGGTGGTTCAATATACCCAAGTTCCAAAGACTCAAGTTTATTCTTGTCCCTTCCTCACCATGTCGATGTCTATTTTCCCCCTCGCAAGAGATCTCGCATCACTGCTCCATTTGTGTTTGGTGGAGAAGGGGTTGAATCAAAGGCAAATGTTTCTATCGAAGTTCTTCCAGATGAGTGCCTATTTGAGATTTTCAGACGATTGCCTGGCGGCAAAGAAAGGAGTGCCTGCGCAGGTGTTTCTAAAAAATGGCTTATGCTTTTGAGCAATATATCCTGCCATGAATTGAAATCTGGGGACGAGGTGGCCTCAAAAGAGGTTGAAGACATGGAAATTGAGAGTGATGGATATCTGTCCAGGAGCTTGGAAGGGAAGAAGGCAACAGATCTGAGACTTGCTGCCATTTCTGTTGGAACTGCAAGTCGAGGGGGTTTGGGCAAGCTTGTGATCCGTGGAAATAATCATGCCAGCAAGGTGACAGACCTTGGACTCAGGGCAGTTGCTCGTGGGTGTCAATCTCTGAGGGCACTATCTTTGTGGAATCTTTCTTCCATAGGAGATGAAGGACTATGTGAGATTGCCAGTGTGTCTCACCAGTTAGAGAAGCTTGATCTCTGTAGGTGTCCTGCTATATCTGACAAGGCTGTGATTGCGATCGCAAGGAACTGCCCCAAGCTGACTGATATTACAATAGAATCTTGTGCAAAAATCGGAAATGAAAGTCTTCGAGCTATTGGGCAGTGCTGCCCCAAGCTGAAGTCTATTGTGATTAAAGATTGCCCACTTGTTGGAGATCAAGGAATTGCAAGTTTGCTGTCTTTGAACACTTGTGCCCTGAACAAGGTGAAGCTTCAGGCTTTGAACATTTCTGATGTGTCCCTTGCTGTTATTGGGCACTATGGCAAATCAGTTACTGACCTTGTCCTCTCGGATCTTAAAAATGTTAGTGAGAAAGGGTTCTGGGTCATGGGCAATGGTCATGGGCTACAAAAGTTGAAGTCGTTTACAATTTCATCCTGCAATGGAGTGACAGACATGGGACTTGAATCTGTCGGAAAGGGTAGCCCAAATTTGAAGCATTTCTGTCTGCGGAAATGTTCATTTTTATCTGACAGTGGCCTGGTCTCTTTTGCGAAAGCTGCAAGGTCCCTTGAGAACTTGCAATTGGAGGAGTGCCACAGAATCACTCAATTTGGGTTCTTCGGTGTCCTTTTGAACTGCAGTACAAGTTTGAAGGCTCTTTCTCTCGTAAGCTGCTTGGGAATTAAGGACATGAGCTCAGAGTCGCCTATCCCATCCTCCAGTGGATCCTCCTTGCGGTCGTTGACCATCCGCAACTGCCATGGTTTTGGCAACAAAAACCTTGCTTCACTTGGCAAGCTGTGCCCTCAGCTGCAGCATGTGGATTTCAGTGGACTTGTTGGAATTGACGATTGTGGGTTTCTAGCTTGGCTTCAGAACTGTCAGTCAGGTTTGGTTAAGCTCAATATCAGTGGTTGTGTCAATCTGACTGACAAGGCGGTTTCATCTATTATTGAGCACCATGGCTGGACACTCGAATTGCTTAATCTCGATGGTTGCAGGAAGATCACTGATGCTAGCTTGGTTTCCATTGCAAACAATTGCCCATTACTAAGTGATCTTGATATCTCGAAATGCTCGATCATGGATTCAGGGATCGCAGCTCTAGCTCATGCCAAGCAGCTGAGTCTGCAGATTTTCTCAGTTTCTGGGTGCTCACTCGTATCAGATAAAAGCTTGGAAAACTTAATAAAATTGGGTGAGACTCTCATGGGTCTGAACATCCAGCACTGTAATTCAATCAGTAGCAGCACTGTTGATCTGCTTGTGGAGCAGCTCTGGAGGTGTGACATTCTCTCATAAATCAACGACATACCGATACAACAGAACCTAGTCGAAGAATTCATACTGTAACTTGACGCGAATGTCCGTAACTCTAGCCAGCTGTTTTGAGCAGGGGACCAGCACATAAAGTTTAGGGGTATAATCACCAAGTATCATCCCAGTCCATGCAGCATTCTGGTTCTCTTTTTCCTGGGTATATGGCCATCTCCCTCTCATTTTTTTTGCAGATCCTGGAGGATCTGTTCCCTAGTAGAGGGATGTGTAACTCTTTCAATGGCCAGTTTTCCCCAAGAACATTAGAACCCGCATCTTCATCGCGGGGAATCGACGCCTGGATTTGCCCCATTCCTCAAAGATGCCACGTCTTATAGGTCCATGCTTTTCCATTTTGCTTCCTGATTGTCCCTTTTTATTAGTCAAGTTTTAGAGTTCAACTATGTTTCATCAAGGGGTAGGTTAAAAAGTGGTCCATGGGTCATTGGTGTGGTTGCTTTGGACAGTTCAAAAACTTAGGTGCCCTTGTCTTCTCCATGGGCTTTGGCCACCACAACCCTTGTGGGTTGTTTTTTGCCAAGCCCTTAGTGTTTGAGGTGCCTCTTTTTTTTTTTTTTCCATTTGGAGAACTGTGCATGCAACCTCCTCCTCTCGTCATCCTCCCCTTTGTGTTGTATGTTTTGCTTCTTATGTAATAACTTTTTTAAATTTGAAGACTAGAGAAAGAAGTTTGTCCGTTATTGTATCCTGGATGGAAAGTGAGTGTATGCTTTTGAATGCCTCCATTATTGAAGATTTCAAATGGGTAGAATTGGAATTTTTAGAAGACTTGGGATGAAATTGAAAATGTTTATGAATAGGTTAAATTTTGCTGAAAGTCTTTGCCCTTTGAAAGTTGGGTTGATTTCAGGCAGGTTTGGAAGTTTGGGAATGTAAGATGCAACTTAAAAGTTTCTAACGTCTTTCCGTTTTAAGCTAAAACTTGAATATATTTCAATGGCTAAGACAATAAAGTTATACATATTCTTTCAGGTTCGAATTCAATCTACATGTTTTGAACCTCCCTCTATCTACACATTGAATTTACTAATTTGGTTCTTAGAGTTGGATTATAGTTTCAATTTAGTTCTTGTTTGAGCTAATTTCAACTAGAAACACTAAATTGAAATTATGTTTCATCTCGGTTAGAATTATCAAATTGAAACTTCTAAAATTATAGAGAACAAATTTGAATATAGAATATAGGGACTAAGATTTAATAAGGATTAAATAAATATTACTCAGTTGAACTAAATTAGATTATATTTAGGCTTGATAATGGCTTTGTATCTATCCACAAAGTGGATATGTGACAACTCCATTTTTAGATTAATAATTGAGATTTGGATTTCTTTTTAACAACCGACTTTGACATATCATCTACTTCCTCTATTGCTATTGACCAAATTATTTGGGCATTTATGGTCATTTCACCTAATTGTGCTTCCTACTTTCTCCTAGGGTTATTAATTCTTTTTTATATAATTGAAATTTAATCTCTTGATTAAGGAATCTATCACTAATTAATTAAGTCTTTAAAAGAAGATGAGAAAATCTTATAGATATTTTCAAAACCGACGAAGAGATTTTCTTTTTCTTTCTAAGAAAACCTTCCACTCAAAGGCATGTCTACAAATAGGTCAACTGCCACTCAACTTTAAAATATATTTTTTATTATATACTAAATAATAGAAGTATATTAACAAGATCTCGGTTCATAATATTTCTTCAAAAACAGGCGCATAATTTCTTTTTCAATATTTTTAAATGGCGTAGACGAGACCAAAACGTTACATTACAAATAAAAGGAAAAAAAAAAGCAAAGTATTACATATTTGATTCGATTGGATACCAATTATTATTATTATCTTTGAACTCTGTTTTAAACTTAGTTTTTGTTTTGTCAAAAAAAAAAAAAAAAACTTAGTTTTTGTTTACAAATTTAATCCAGTAAAAAGGTTTCGCAAACTTTTTGTATGCTACGTGTCGTGATACTATTAGCTCTCTCAAACGATTGCATAAATAGCGTCCGTACTGGATCTTTGCCACGTCCTCACACGTACTTCACAACTCTCTGTGTTTCAGCATCAAAGAGAT